ATCTAGAACTAAGAAAAATCTAAAAACGAACTAAAACAAAGATAAAGGAGTTAGGAAAGGAAGAAAAGAAATAAATTAGAACTATAAAATAACGAAGAAAAAGAGGGGAGGTTAAATGAGAACGAGAGAGTCGAATATATTACTTAGGTCGTAAATACCGTCCTTAAGATAGTCTCGATAATACCTATCTTAACTTACGTTTAATTACGAGTCTACAAACGTACGTATTTATTACTTTATTAAGAGTATATAATAAAAAGTCATAAATTAACGTATTTCTTATTATAATTCTATACGTATATAGGGGAACGCGCTTTCTTAAAACGTTAACCGTAAAGGTATATCTAACTCTATTGTTAACGTGTTTCTTTTCCTCCTTCTCCTTTTTCTCTTTAGGTATTCTATTCCGAAACCTCCCCCCTTATAATTATTATATTCTCATTAATCTTTAGCTTACCTTTTTTATTATTAATTTTATTTTTTAATTTTATTTTTAATTTATTCTCTTTCTCCCCCTCTCTTTTTAATATTTCTTTTTTACAATAACTTCCTTTCGCTCCGCCGGCGTTCCTCTCTCCTTTTCCCTCCCTTCCGTTTATAAAGACGTACTTCGAATCAATTTAACCGACTTAATAAAGCTCTTATAGGAGATTTACGGCGGTGAAAATAACTAAAGCGGTATAGAGAAGTATTAACTTAATATTTTAAAGGACTACGACTCGAGGAAGGGCTAGATCGAATTAAGATCTAATATAGCCTAGGTTCTCCGGCTATCCGTTAATCGATCCCGAACTATAAATTAATAATAGTAAAAGTAAACGAAAGTAACCTTAATTAATTCTTTCGTATACCTCGTTCGTTTCGCTTACTTTATTAACGAGGATATCCGTACTTTTTATATTATAATAAGTTACGACCTCGAAGGTAAGAAAGCAGCCTTCGAAATAAACTCGTATATTAAACGATAAGCTATTGATCGGCGGGGTCCTTTAACTTCTTAACCCGTTAATACCTTTTCGATAACCCTATGTCCGCCTTAGCTTTTACGATTTATATAGATTTAATAGACCTGAAATAAACCATCGCTAACCTTAATAAGTTCTCCTAAGCCTACTTCGTCATAACGTTATATTTCCTTAAGCTTTATAAACTATTTAACTTTAATATAATTAAAGACGGCGTCTTCGATCGGACGGCGTACGCGTTTGGTTAATTATAATGAGGTTAAGAAAAGGATATTTTCGAAATTACTATAACCCCTTAATTCGTTTATTACGTCGCGTTAATAAATTGATAAGATAACTTTAATTATAGTTTTTAAAGCGGTATCTTATCGTATCTTATCTTTAAATAACCGATCGAGGTCGTTTAAGAAGCCTAAGAAAATAAGGGGCTTAACCTCCTTAATATAATAAGGGAATATACCGAGGTAGTAGAGTAATTTTATAGCGTTCGGGTTCTAAAGGGAGGGGTTAGTATCGTTAAGCGTTTCCGATAAGCTATAAATTAAAAAAAGCGTATCGACCTTATTAACACTATAGCCTTTACCGAAAATACCTCGGTCGGAAAGCCCTCTAACCGTAAATCTTCCGTTCATTCGTTCGCGTAAGTTAAGGTCCGCCGTTCTTCCGTAGCCTTAGTACTTAATCCCTTCCGCTTCTTCGTATTAACGGACGTAAACCTCTGATACGACGACCTTATTAAGGTTACGAGCTACCTCTTCCTTTTCCCCGACCTAGTTAGGATTAAAGCTTTCTAATCTAACGAAACCTCTATACCGTATAGGTAGAGGGAAAATACTTAATCGATCCTCGGAACGTACCTACTTCCTTATTTTTCCCTTAATTAAGAAAGATAAGCCGAGATTAAGAAGAAGGTAACCGAAATAGAGAAAGAATACGCCGATCGGGCTATATTAGTAAGGATAAACCGGGTTAAGTTAACCGTAAAGTAATAAAGGAATTTCTTCGTTATATTAAAGGATAAGATAAAGGCTCGGCTTTAATAATTAAATAATAACCGATAGAATGAAGTTTTACGGTAGTTTTTAAAGAGAGATATTAATGGGAATATACCGTACTATCTTTTTTAATTTAATTATTCCTTAAGGTATAATTAAATTAAAGAGGTTATAATAATACGATAAGATATATCCTTTTAATACATTACGTAATACGTTACGATAGGCTTTATACCTATATAAAGTAACTATAACTCCCGTAAGTACGGGCTATACTATACTTATTATTTAGTTTATTACTTAGTTAAATTATTATATTTATTATTTTTACTTTAATTAAAGATTCGTTTTTATTATTAGATTCGTCGTTCTCTAATTAATATATCTATTTTAGTTATAAGCGCTTAAGTCGCTTCGTCGTACTACTATAGCCGAATAAGTAACTTTTACGTTTAGTTCCTTTTCTCCTCTTACCTCTTATGCCTTAGGGTTAGCGATTACTATATCTTTACGACTAAGAGATATACCTAAGATATAATAATTATATTAGATTCCTCGTTTCTCGATTAATATAATAATATTAATTTTATCTATCTTAGATTATCGTACGTATTATAGTCTTCGATAAAGTACCCTTTCGAGTAAGCCTATCCGGGACTCCAGTATCGCGTACGCTCTGCTCCTCCTTATTATATCGGGCTTTCCTTAACCCTCGATTCCTTTTTTATATATAGTCCTAAGGCTTTTAAGGCTTTCCTACAAATTACATATCGGTAAAGGCGATAAGAGGGGTCTCTGGGTATTATCTTAACTATTTCTATAATTATTCCTAATCTCTTAGGTTATTTTATTTAATATCCATTTAATTCGTTTTATATCGGTATCGTTTATAGATTTTCGTATTAATCGGTAGGTTCCCGATTAGGTTCATAGATACAAGGCGTATCAGTATTTTCTTATAAGGGTATCGTAATAACTATCGATTAAAGAGGTAAGGAAAGACCTCTTTAGATACCATAATTCATTAATAAGAATAAAATAATGGTCATCAAGCTATCAGTAAGCCTTTTATAATTATAATAAATCAATTAATAAAGGAACAAATACCTTTAAACGCGTACGGGTATATTAAAGAAGAGGGGGGGTAGCGGTAATATAGTTAGATCGATTAATTAAAAAAAATACTATCTAGATACTATTAAAAACAAAGGCAAAACTGAGTAAAAACGGATATAGCTCCTTTAAAAGAGATAGATAAGAAACGAGGATAAGATAGATCTTTTAATCAGCGAACGAGCTTTTAGATAAGTTAATTAAAAGTTAATAAAAGGTCGTAGGTTATTAAGATAGTCGCTATAGTTATTTATTCTTCCGTTAATCCTACTACTTAAAATGGCTTAATCTAAAAGCTATAAAAACGGCTCCGGAGCTACGAAAATAACTGCTAATTAATTAAAAATTAAGGAATCTTTTAACCAACGTATTCTAAACTTATTAACTATAAAACGGTTATAATAAGTCGCTCTTAAGACTAAGGTAAGGTTACGGCTCGAGCTAACAAGTCGTCGCCATTAAATAGGAGTAGCGTAGGTACGCTGTAATAGAGATACGAATAACTACCCAACTGCTAACAACTAGCCTAGTACTAATCAACCTAGATTACAGCTGTCAACAGCTGTAATCAGTTAATCGGCTAGCTGAAAACGGCAGCTAAGAAAGGAGACTAAGAAAAGAAGGATAGCTAGATGGCGAGAAAAGACATGGTAAAAGGAGTGAATATCTATAAGGTCTTAATTACTATACGTCTAAGTTTAACTAATGAAAAGGTAAGTACGAGACTCATATAAATACACATTCAAAAGGCTACGTGGCCTAGATCTACCGCACTACTACAATACCTACCCCGAGAATAAGATTCTTTTAGTTCTTATCACGTAAGCGGTACTAAGAAGAGAGGGCGATAGACGCCCGCTCGGGCGGTAGCCGCTTACGAAGGCAACGAACGCCCGTTTAAGAACTAACCGCCTTATATAAAAGGTAACCTTACTAATCTAATTATAGACTACTATATAAAATTAGAAATATCTTCCTTATTAAATTGTTATTCTCTTAGCTCTTTAATTAATAATTTAAGTATATAATTTATTCTTAATAAGTACTTTAAACCGTAAGGTTAAGAAATATATAAATTGTCAGTTACCTAACTATAACTTTAATTCCTTAATAAGAAAATTAATTATCTAACTTATAAATAATTATAATATAATCTGTACCTACGAAAGCTATAGTTACTTTATGTAAGTTTATATAGCTAGTTATAATATATTATATAATATACTAAAGGGGCATGTCTTACTATACTACTATAATAATTGAAACTAAAACTATATATTAATTAAACTTTTAATATTATCTAAATAACCTTAAAGCTAATAAATAGTAGTATAATCCTATCTAGAGGATAGTTATAATACGTTAAACCCCCTATCATACTTATTAATTTACAAAGGTAATTCCTTTATAAAAATACCCTTATAAATACCCTTGTAAATGCGGAGTTATTTAAGAGATACTTTATTTTTATTAGTTAAAAGTTTATATAACTTGTTTAAAAGAAATACATCTAATAAAACCGTAGCATACGCGTTTATTTATTTACCTATTAACGTATTTAATACTATTTCTTACTTAATTCTATTTTCTATCTAATCCTATTTTCTACCTATTTTAATCCTATTTATATATAGATTAATCGAGGTTAGTTTCTCCTTATTTAAAAGTCGATTACTAATCCTTTTTCGTAGTTTAATCCTATTTATATACGAATTAATTAAGCTTAATGTCTCCTCGTTTAATCTAGGTTAATTTCTTTCTGTTTAATCTAAGTTAATTTCTCCCTGTTTAATTAAGAATCGATTACTAATTAATCCCTTTTCGTAGTTTAAACGTCGATTCCTACTTACTTCTTTTTCCTTAACCTTCAGAGAGGTGCTAGGGGGGTGAGGTAGCTTATTATCAGGTAACATATAGTAAAGAGTAGTTTCGATAAACAGGACATTGGCTTTGCGAGTAAATAATAGCCTAAATGTTCAATACATTGCCATATCCCTGTCAACATATAACCCTGACTAGAAGTGGCCTGGATCATTATTATATATTATAGGGAAATTTAGCAGAATATTCTCAGGTTTGTCTCCAATATCTTGCTGTTAGATGTCTCATTTATTTCGTCCACCAAGGATATGCTTCCCGGTCTAGGCTTCATTACAGTATCACAGTCGCTCCCCGCCCAGTTTCTTCGGCTAGCTCCACCGGCAACGACAGCAGCTCTGCTCTAGCCAGCCCCTCGTCCAACTCCTCAGCATGTTCAAAATCAACCAGACGTATACTACTTCCAGAAATCCGGTCGACGAGGAAGTTGTACCGATTTACGTCACCATGAATCAACCCCAGGCGGTGCAGCCTGCGAAGAAGCGCCTCGCAGTTGGCCAAGTCGTCGATGCAGGCCGGCTCTCCATTAACCTTTTGCAGCAGGAAACCCATGGTTCTACCGTTCTCAGTCAAATGGCCGAGGAAGTTAGGTGCAATAGGAGACTCATTAGGATGTTGGTTATGATGACGTGCCATTATCGAGTACGCCCATGACTCGCGCTCAATCCGGGCTATGTCCCATTGGAAGCATGCGATCTTGGCGATGGCAGGGGCGCCGTTATATTGGACCTCATGCACTCCCGAGCGGAAACGCCTCGTTCTCTCCAATTTCAACACATCGACGCGCAGTTCATGCCAAGTTGTCTGGATCTCGGGCAACGGGTCCGTAGAGGTGGTTGACGTGAGAGAGCCATTCTTGTCCCGCGAGATGACCATAGTAGTCCACGGAGAGTCGGGAAGATCTGGTAACTTAGGAATGAGGAGATACGGCCGACACATAGTATCGTCGTCGAATACGCCCGAGGAGATTGTGAGGTAATGGACTCTTCGGCCCACTCTGAGACGATAGTATCCGTTTTCATCGTCTATGTATTGAGAGAGAATTTCGATGTCTGATTTTGGTAGCATCGTCATGGTAACTTTGGCAGGTCACTCTTTGCCGGTCATGATTTTGTGTTGCGGCAGGAGGCGTAGGTATACAACCTGAGTGAGGTGGTCTGAGAAGTGATGCGCTTCCCGGCGCTGGACTTGAGCACGTGGCACGGGCCAATCGATACGCGCGCGGGTATCATCTGCAACTCACCAGCGTTGTCCTAATACCCTCATCTTTTGGCTTGAGGCGTAACCGCCGGGCGAGTAGATCCTCGGTGGGCGCTATTAGGTCGGTTGGTATCAGAACTTTTATTTGTAACATGGCCGACTATGCAACCAGCAAAGGCGCCTGAGGGTGGCTAATCCGCGCGTGTATCACCTATGACTCGCCAGGGTCGCCTTATTTTCTGTGTTTAATATGTAAGCGCCGGCCGAGGAGCTCTTCGGTGAACGTTATTAGGTTGGTCGGCATCAGAACTAGGACTACTTGAAACATGACCGACGATGCAGCTAGCCTGAGGGTGACCAACACGACGCAATATTGGCAGCGCAAGTCCCTCTTGTAGCGGGCAACGATAAACATAAAAGGCTCAGAAAAGTCCCCTCGAGGTTGTCTCGTCATCCTACCAGATTATTATGAACGCCTGCTTGACTGTTAAACTGTCCCCTCAGGTACGAGAGCCAACATCCATCCACGAAGTTGATCGCCCTAACACTCGGTCAAAGGTTACAGCCGTATCATTTCAAGTGTCGTCCTCTTCCTCGCTACACTAACAATACCTCCCCACCTTTGATCCGTTCAGGACAATCGTCCACCTCATTAACCACTCGTCGATCTCGATCATGTGCACTCAATATTATCACCTGTACCAGTGTGGATGCAGACAGAAGGGAGAATTCGTGCAGTGCGATCGATTGTACAACAGTCAATCGAACTTGCAATGCTCGCGGATGGACAGAGATGACAAGATATCACGCAACTATTGTCCCAAACACCTTCCAAAGGAAGACAAGGCTACAACAGAATATCGGGGTCGGTATCCTAGGGACTGAGCTGGATGTCGGGCGGAGAAGTACAAGTACGAGGCTGCGAGTAGGATAGATAAGTTGATGTGGCGGAGTGGGCAATGAGAACGACGCAGCAGTCTGGAGTTAGTTGTCGGGCCGGAATGCAGTCAATGTGTCATGTTGAGTTTTGCCATCGTCCCTAGAGTTGCTGTCTAGGTAGCTTTCGTACTGAAACTGTCCAATGTCAATCGTTTACTGTCGCCAATTCAGGAACCAATTGCCGTGCGCCGTAGCAGTGCTTAATGTGATCTAAGAATGACTGCTTCGATCGGGCCCGCCTTTCCAAGCCGAGTAGCACCCGCTGTGGCTCACAATTCGATGGCACCACGGCCGCAAGCATATCCCGAGGTAAGCGCAGGGAATCGTATCGGCGGAGGGTGACTTCGCAGCCCCGACACCACAGACCGTCCTCGATCCTCCCCGACTTTGAGAGTGAAGGGAACGGAATGGAAGCCATGCCAAAGAAATTATCAGTCGGAATATTGCCTTGGCTTGGCAGTAACAGCGAGTCTTGACCTTGGGATACCGCTGGCTCGCCCTGAAGGTATCGACCGACGACGAGGAGACTTGTGGACTTGCATCTCCTCGCCATAGCCTGTGCTAGCTTTTCCGTAGACCCTTGCACCATAAGTCCAAGACCTCTCGCTGCCTTTACGCTAACAAGCCTGCAATGTTCCGGTGCAGGGTCGGCGGATATGCCATAGTTGCCAGGGATAACGCAAAGGGTAGGTAGCCGTTGAAGATGCCGCTCCGAGAGGCCAAAATATGTTTTTGCTTCCTTGGGTAAAAGCACCCGTAACGACGGGTTGTAACGGAGGCATTCCCAGCAGCATCTCTCACAGGTAGGAAGGAATAGAAACGCGCCGTATTCGGTGCAAGTTGCACACCGCCCCGTTCGCAAAGCGGTGTGGAGTTCAACGACGGAATGAAGACCGATCAGGCCTACCCTGCCCAACGCCAAAAGCACCTGTGGAGCAAATACGACCAGGTCTCGATATGCACGCTGCGATTGAACGAACATGTTGCCTCGGAAAGAAACGCTTGCGAAACGTACAATTGACTGGATATCGAGCATACCAAGGAGAATTGACATGATTTCCGGCGGGAGACGATCGAGGATGCCGAGTGACGAGACACGGTCAGTCCGGAGACGGTCAGCCAGCGTTGAATCTGGAGGTTTTGGCGGGGCCGTGACCGTGATCATGGCTCTGAGGAGGTGGCGGGGACGATGGGATAGACGAGAGATGAGTATTTCTGGCTCGAGAGAAGGATTCGACATCGTTGGCGGCGTTGCTTGAGGAGTTGAGAAGCGCAAAACATGTGCAGTCGTTGCACGTCGCGGCACGTCGCGGCACGTCGCGAATGCGTTGAGGACGCGCTAGGGGAAAATAAAAGCGGGTCCGAAGAAAACTAGAAGCACAGAAAACAAGTACCGGCGTTAATCTGTCACGTATTGGAAATTTTAAAAAGCCCTAACCGCGTTTTTAAATCGCAGTAGCCTATAGTAATGCCAGATGTTATATGGATGTAAAGAAGGTACCATCTATTACATAACCACAGGCTACCCCTCTGCGGGCTACCCCTTAATATATAAAAGAAAAACTAAAATAAGTACTTTTACAAATTAAATAGCTTACTAATATTAATTAAGAATAATAAAAAGTAAATAAAATTAAAGTATATTATTTAATTAATTTCTAAAACGTACCAGAGTCTGAATTATATATAGTAATTAGACTCGTTATAGTAATTAAGTATTTCATTTATTGTTATTTAATAGGCTTATAACCTCCTTCTACGTTACCTATACTACTATCTCTTCTTCTTCTTCTTATTATTATTATTATTATTATTATTATTATTATTATTATTATTATTATTATTATTATTATTATTATTATTATTATTATTATTATTATTATTATTATTATTATTATTATTATTATTATTATTATTATTACTATTATTATTCAACTACGGCTTTTAACGTAATATTAAGTAACTATTAATTATTATAATCGTTTATTAATATTTTATAAAGGAATTAAAAACGCGTATTTAAGTTAAGAATAACCTTCTTTCAGTTAGCTTTTTAATTTTAATTAAGTCATTAACGAAAAGATTTAATCATCTTTAAAAGCTAGCTTTGTATAAAGGTTGTAATAACCGTTAGCAACGTTTTTGAACGTTATGTCAATATATAGAGATTGATTAACGGCGAATTTCCTAGCTTTATTAATCTTATTTAACATTGAGACTTATATCATTAAGTTTTCCTTTTTAAGGCTTTTTGTTAGTTTGTTTTAATTGTATCTTTCTCCTACTGAAGCTTAAGATATACTTATACCTTATTATAGCTTATTAATTAGTTTTTAATTATTTCAAAGCCGGTATAGACGTTGTTCTCAGTAAAGACGTCGATTCTTACCACGTACAAATAACGTAAGATATTTAACTTATTAATTAGTACGATATACGTTAAGAAGTATAACTAATTTAAATACTTCGTATAAGCTATTTTAAAATCGTTAAATGAGTTATTATTAAATAATTTATAACGTAGCTGGTAAGAGCAACGTATAGCTTACTAGGTTATAGGAATAAGGAGTAATAGAATGCGGGTAAGAAGGTATATATTAACTAATTAGAAAGATGAAAATCTACTAAAGAGTATAAAGCAATCTATAGATATATATAAAAGTACTTAACTAACTTAAGTAAGCAAAGTAGTTGTTACGAAGAGTGAATATTGTAGTGGTGCGGTGGATCTAGGCCACGTAGCCTTTTCGATGTATATTTATATGGGTCGCGTACTCATATTTTCATCAGCTAGACTTAGACCTGTAGACATCACGACCTACAGCCATTCACTCCTTTTGCCATGCCTTTCTAACCATCCTCGATTGCCCTTCTCTAGTCTCCCTTTCCCAGCTGCCGTTTTCAGCTGGCCGATCAACCGATTACAGCTGTTTACAGCTGTGATCTAGGTTCGATCGGCACTGGGCCAGTTGTTGGCAGTTGGGCAGTCCTTGTTTCGTGCCTCCGTCAGCGTGCCCACGCTGCTCCTGTTCAATATTTACGTAATATATCCCTTAGTTAGGCTTACGAAAGTAAGGCTAACTATAGTCCTTTACTTACGATAATAGCTTAAGGGATTATTCCTTAGTCTCGCTATGCCTTATAGAGGTTAATCGATTACTAGGTGCCTTATTTCAGGCTTTTTTAAGTTCTCTTATCTGTATATATTTAGGTTATTATTAATGGTATCTTTCCTAAGTTATATACTCTTCGTATCCCCTACTTCGTGTTTCATACTTTATAATAAAGGAAATAATTACTCACTTTTGATTAAGCGGTAGTTAGTTATATATATAATGTAATAGTAATCGCTTTAGTATTAATATTAAGATTTAATCTTCTTAGTTACCGTCGCGTATACTCGCGTTACTTAGGATAACCGATTATATTATTTCTCTTACGAGGGCGGGTAAGCGTAAATATATTTAGGCGGTCTCGCTCTTGGATTAATCCTTTCTTTTTCTTTTCCTTTCCTCCTTAGGTTATTTATTATAAGTATACACTTTTATTTATAATCAAGCAATTTTATTAATTATGTAATCGTAAGTTAATTTATTTATAATTAACGTAAAGCGTAGCTTACGTATTATATGAGTTTTATTATACTTTAATTAAGCGACCGTAAAATAGAGCTTAACATATTATGGTAAAGCTTAGTATTTATAATTAGTATATTACTTTTAGTATTAGAGTAACTTAGGATAATAAAGCGATAGTTAGTTACTTTAGATTAATAAGTAAGAAATTATTCGAAATAATTTATTTATTACTCGCTCGTTATTTACCAGTAATAGGATAGTGCCGTAATTAATGATTTATTAGGATATTGGATTCTTTAAAGCTTTGTTAATTCATATTATCGCTTTAGGCCTTTGGAGCTAAGCTCGCGTAATAAGTTATTAATTACTTTACTGTGAGCTCTAATTTACTTATCCTTATAAGGATCCGTACCTTAATTAATAATTACGCATAAGTTACGTATACGGGTAGTAGTATTAGATCTTCAGCCGGTAGTTACGTTCGCGATAATAACTCGTTATTTACTCCCGGATCCGGAAACCTCGTAATCGCTTAGCTATTTAAAGACCTTTTTAACGATAAAAATATCAATATAATTATCGCTAGCCCTTTAAAGCGACGTAACCCAGTATTTATTACTCGTAATCGTTAAGTTATTATATTTAGAATAATTACGCTCTCCTTTAATTCTTTTTAAGTATTAATACCTTAAGTAAGATTCCTTTTCTTTAAACGAAAAAGCTAAAGAGAAAAGCGATTATCCGGCTATGTTTATTACTTCTACGATTCTTCGACGTAAAACTCGCTCTTAAACCCGGTCTTGTTAGGTTATTTTTACTAGACGTAAGGTTGCTATTACTCCGGCCTCTTAGTTAATAGTGTAGTGGTGCGGTAGATCTAGGCCACGTAGCCTTTTCGATGTGTATTTATATGGGTTAAGTACTTATATTTTCATTAGTTAGACATAGACCTGTAGTATAGTGGTGCGGTGGATCTAAGCTACGTAGCCTTTTCGATATATATTTATATAGGTCGCGTACTTATATTTTCATTAGTTAGACTTAGACCTATAGACATCATAGCCTATAGCCATTCATTCGTTTCTTGCCATGCCTTTCTAGCTATCCTCTTTTGCCCTTTTCTAGTCCCTTTTCCTAGCTGCCGTTTTTAGCTAGCCGATTAACCGATTATAGCTGTTTATAGCTGTAATCTTGGTTAATCGGTACTAGGCTAGTTGTTGGCAGTTGGGTAGCCGTTTCGTGCCTTCATTATAGCGTGCCTACGCTACTCTTGTTCAGTGGCGACCACCCAGTAGCTCGACCTCACCTCATCTTAGGAGCGACCTTTTGCGCCCGTTTTTATAGTCAATAGGTTCAGGATACGACGATCAGGAGATTCCCTGTTTTTCAGTTGATCAGGAGCTGTTTTCGTGGCTCCAGAGCCGTTTTCGTAGCTTTCGGATTGAGCCTTTTTAGGTCAGGATTAACGGGAGGGCAGACAACCATGGCGACTATCAACAACTACGCCCTCCCATCAGCTTTTGATCAGCTTACCTGAAAGCTCGTTCGCCGATTAGTGGATCTATCCTATCCTCGTTTCTCAGTTATCTCTTTTGAAGGAGCTATGCCCGTTTTTATCTGGTTTTGCCTCCATCGTTTTTCACCAGTGCCTAAATAGTAGTTTTCTCGCCCTTAGTTGATCTAACTAAGTTACCGCCACTACCCCTTTTTACAACACGCGCTTGAAGGCATCCGTTCTTTACCGATCGATCTATTTTAATTGCAAGAGGCTTACCGATAGCTCCGATCGCCCTTGTTTTATCCCTGCTAGCCAGTTACGGCACCTGGGGAGGTTTCTCCTCCCTAACCAATAGGTGCCACGATGCCCTCAATTACCATACGAAGATACCGACAGACCTTATACCCACGCCATAAGCCTGATCGGGGACGTACCGATCAGGATCAAGAGACCCATACAGACGATACCGCGATATACGAATTAAATAAGATATTAAATAAGAAAGCCTAGAAAAAACAGTTACAAGTTATAGTCGGAAATAGTTATGATAAAGCCCGGAGACCCCTCTTGTCGCCTTTACCGATATATAGTTAGTAGGAAGAGCCTAGAGAGCCCCTAGAACTACGTATAGGGGAGGGATCGAGGGTCAAGGGAAGCCCGGTAGATACTGCCGGACGAATATAGGAACGGTTACTAGATACGAGTTAGAAACGGAAATAGTCGGGCATGAATAGGATATATTAATTAGTTTATAGGATCAGGAATCAGTTGAAAAGGATTGGTAAAAGATAGCTATGGACGAGAAGGACGGAGATTACGTTGCATCGTATAGGATTGTTTCTTTATTTCTTATAGGAGCTACGCTTATTTTACCTGCCCGTTATAGTTCCTGTTTCCTAACTATTGATCCTTGTTGTTTCTTAATGGCCCTAATGAACCTAGCTCGCTCCTAGTTAATCAGGGTTGATCAGGAACAGGTTGATTAGGTTAGTTACAGTTATAGCTCCGCTAGCCTAGTTGTTCTTGTTATTAGATCTTTCCTATTGTTTCCTATTAATCGTTATTAAACTGGCTTAGCTCCTAGTTAGTAGCGATTAAATAGGTTCGGGATTAATTAGGTTTAGGATTAGGTTTAGGATCAGGTACGGTTATAGTTAGTTACCTACCCCACTATCCACTTATTGCTATTGCAATCGCCTAGTTAACCTATTTCTTCCTAACTTATCCTATTAGCCTTTAATTAAACTAGCTAGCTTTTAATTAATCAGGGTTAATCGGGATTAGGTTGATTAGGTTTAATAAGAACGAGAGCTACCGTACCTATTACTATTAGGAGTTTAATTACTCCTTACGGATTA